AGATTATCCAGTAAAGATTATTAAAAGAAAATAATAATTTTGAAATTAAAATAAAAGGGAAATATTTTATATTAATTTGACGTAAACATTGGAGGTCATCTTGATATGGGTGCACTTAAGTACATGCAATGACTTCCATAAAAGCAAAACAATATTAATGATAACAATGATTATATATTTAAAAAGAGAAGTATAAGTTAGTTATCTTGGAAGGGTTTGGTTATGAATTGATGTTTGATCCATCTTAGACCCAATCTATTTTGGGTAACTTATACTAGTTTAGGAGATAACTATTTAGGCTCACGTTTATTTGCAATATTATGGATCTTACTAGATCTTGAACTTTTGCTACATGTATTTGGGTCCTCTAGATACATGTTTTTTGGATAATGAGGTCTAAATTAGGTGTAGTTTTTCTGAAGGAATCGTCATTTTCTATCAGGGACGCTATGTCATTTTCAATCCCGGTGTATTTCGGATGCTTGAAGGCCCCGCTGACATGAAGTGATTTAGAAAGATTCTTCTTTATCGATGGTGATCGGTCATGGTATCCATAGCCTTGCTTCTTTTTTGGCCAAATCTTTGTTTAAGATGGAATGTATCCAAGTGAATTCGCATATATCTGAATCTCTCGTTCACCTATATATCTTCTATATCACTCGTCACTTTCCTCTCTTTCTCGCTTTTCTCCTTCTATATAATATCCAAAATACATGTATATAGTGTATCTCATATACATGTATATATTATATCACATGTATTTGTGATAAGTAGACTATTTTGTTTGCCTCCCTTCTATCTCTCCTTTTCTCGCTTGCCTCTCCCCTATTTTAATATATCTGATAGCAAATACATGTATTAACTTATTTGACTTATAGTATAAAACAGTTAATTAGTGAAACAATATATTGTTATTTAAACTATATAAAAAAAATAGTAAATATAATCCAAATGTTTGTCAAATTAGATGGGTTTTCCATCTATTTTTACCCAAGCAAAATTTGGATGATTTAAATCTTAACTCAATAGTTAATTTGATTCATTTTAATTCATCTAAAGTTAATTAAACCTGCTCATTTGCCTCCCTAAAAGCAAGATAATAAAACGAAAGCAACTCTACTAACTTATTAATTAATTGCAATAAATAATCTAAAACAGTCCTATTTGTCCACAATCTCACTTCTATCTTCCTTTCGATATCTTTTTTAAGATTCCATCAATATCTTATTATTTATAAAACAATTGAAGAAAAGAAAATTGTATTATGGCAAAGCAACATATGGATGTTCATATCTAGAGTATAATATTATTTTTTTTTAAAAATAAAATAAAATAAGGGTTAAATATAATGTCATGATCTTAGTGCAAAAAAATAATAATTAGTTAATCGACTAGTAGTTTAGTAATGAATTAAAAATCGAACTAAACAGACTTAAGCACGGATACCCTTAATTTAGATCTTCCAATATCTCCTCTAATTACTATTTTAATTAAGGTTTTGTGATATTATATGTTTATAAATTATAAGTTTAACTTTAAGCCTAACGTACGGTCGATAATGATGGACAAATCCTTCTTGTAACACCATGTTGCTTATACATAAAATTAGTGTTTTGTGCTAATCCTACTTAAAACCTAACCATATAGATCTTCACCAAATGGCTACTTCTAGTACAAAGCAACTCTATAATCAATTATAGATTTTTCTAATCACAATTATATTAATTATAACATATGGTCCATATTTAAAGTTAATACAATAACTAAAATAACGTACACAAATTTAAATTTTGTAGTACTGCATACACTTTATCTTTTTTAGAATCCGTTTTTAAGATTTCATTGAATGTGTCGGTTTTTATTATTGTTGATTTAAAATGGGTAGTGTTTACGTAATCTATCTCCTATATTGAGTAACCAAAAAATAATTGTATTTGATAGATCGTCAACTCAAATAAAACATATCAAGCTGCATCAAGTATATGTAAATCTAACTTGATATTAGTATGGTAGAAAGAAACAAATTTTAGCTTTTTTCTTCTTTGATGTCCGATATTCAATCCGATCAAATTCTCCAAAACACAACATAACCCAAGGCTCAAATCACATCTAATTAAGAATGAAAAAAATACTTATTAATACCCAAGGCTCAAATCGCATCTAATGAAGAATAAAAAAATACTTATCAATATAATCAATTTTACAGTTGGTAATCATGAATTTTAAGGAAGATGATATTTATTTAATAAAATTTAACTTTATGTTTAACAAGTTTTAACTTTTGATATTTAAATGTTTATCAATTAAATAATAATAATTGGTGTTGTATTTTTATTAATAACAAGTAAACCAAATGGTGCTTTTGATTTTTCAATCTAAAAGTGAGTGTTGAATCTTGAATTGACCCTTTGAATAAAACTTGAATCTTGAATTGATTATTTGAATAAAAGTTGAACAATGAATTTCCAAATAATTACGACAAATCTTAAATAAAAATTAAAAGAATATTTAAACGTTGGATTTAGGATTGAATTTTGAAGTTAGACTCAATTTTGAATTTAAAATTAGAAAAAAGACAACTCTAACTTGATGCCAATTATTCTTTACAGAATATTCTTATTGGCGTTAAAATTTAATCTCTAAGATAATGAAAACACCAAGTATTTACATTAGTTGAATAAAGTCATAAGTTAGAAGAGTGAATTTTGAATTATTTCCTTAAATAAAAGTTGAATCTTAAATTTTGGAACAACGTCATAAATCTTAATTATAAACTTGAATTAAATTAAATGAATATTTGAACTTTGAATTTAGGTTTGAACTTTGACGTTAGAATTCAACTTTGCAATTAGAATTGAAAAATGCAATTCTAACTTAGAAGCCAATTCAGTTATACAACTCTAACTTTAAAAAATGTTGAGTTATTACTTAATTTAGTGTTTAACAAATTCAAATTTTGTAATCTTTTGTGTATATGAAAGTTTAGTTGAATCGACGATATAACTAATTTTGGTTGAATGGGGATGAGGTATAAATTTGTAGAAGGTGTCAACGATTTTTTAGACTATACTAGAACCTTTTCAACTTAATGGCTTGGTCAAGTGTTATCATAAATGAAAAATTAAAGATTATTGTGCGTTTTGGGAATACATAAGAATTTTGAATTAGCTTGAAATCTTATCGTATAACTTATGACTTCTACTTATTATTATCATTTTCGTTCAATTTCGAAATACTTTAAAGTAGATTTTCATGCTGTGTTGATGAAGAGGATATTTAGTAAATATATTTGTTGTAATCTAATTGATTGTTAACCGTTCTTAGACCTTAATTTAGCTAATTAGAATGTATATATTGTTGAATTGAATTAAAAAGACATTCAGACTGTTGCAAAAACAACAATTAACAACCAATTTTTATTTTTATTTTTACAGAAAAGAAAATAATTTTATTTTTAAAAAAAAGACGACCTCATGAGATCACTATTTACGAATTAAATAAAGTTAATAAAGTAAGAGATCGCATAAGAAATTTTTTAGCAAAAATAAAATATAAATAAATAATAAAATAGCAATCTTATGAGATCTCTTTTTGTTTTAAATAAATAATATATCAACCTCATGAGTTCTCTTTTTTAAAAACTTTTTAAAACTAAATTGGTCATATCGTGAAGTCTCTTTTTGACGGCCTCATGAGGTCTCTAACGAAAAATGGCCTACGTTTAGATATTTAACGTTCAATTCACTTTTTCTGTATTTCTTTCAATTTCTTTTATAGTTTTTTACTAGTAGTAAATAGTCTTAGCATAACTAATGTAATAATAAGTAATAAACATCTGTATTGTCAATACTTATAATACATTCTATTCAACATTGTTTTTGTAAAATCTATGAAACGACCTCCTAAAAATGCTACCTTCCCAAATCCACTTTTGAGATATAGTGGGTATATTTGATAACTGGTTAGAACAATGCACGTATTAGTAATGTGACAATTAGTTATAAGTGAATGTATATACTATCTAATACATGAATTAGTTACACATGTATAACTTATTCCACCTTCTTACCCTATATAAAATAATACTCTCTCTGTCCCAATTTATGTATCATTTTTTCTTTTTTGAGACCATACCATTTTAGTTTGACTGAGAATTTGCGCATGAAATTTTCAATTATTTCAAAAGAAATTTATATTTGCAAACTACGTAAAAAGTATTATAAGTCACAATAATAGTTAATTCAAAGTGTTTAAAAAATTTATGGAAAAATTTACAGTAAAGATAGACTTATTTGAATCTCAAAATTTAAAAAACGCCACAGAAAATAGGACGAAAGGAGTACATAGATCCACTAATTACTTATACATGTATCAGTTATGCAGATTTTCTAAATTATCAACCAAACATACTATCAGTTTTACACATTAATAATTTATTGTTTATCTACCTATAAAACGTCGTATAAGTTATACAAAAAATTAATATCTGAATATTTTATTTCTTATTCAACTACCAAACGACCGATTATTTGCAAACTTGGACATCACTTATGCTGGTTGAAGGATATATAAAGGGACACAATTGTACATATATTCTCCCTCATATCACTAACACTTCCATTAATCACCATACATATAAATATATCAAGAAAACTACACTACCTTACTTCAAAAATGGCAACACTTGCAGCAAGAAACTAAGTTACCACGAAGGAAATGATACACGTAATGATCAAAAAGTGTTCATTATTCATCGTCATTGAAGTAAAAAAGCTCGAAAATTGTTCGTAGATGTGAAGAAGATGAACCAGCAAATATAATACACTATAACGAATAACAAATATATATTCCCATTATCTGTTCCACTTTCATCAACCCTCTGTTTCTTTTTTTGGTACTATTCTCTGCCAGAAAAACAATCCATTATTTTACTGTGCATATAAATAGTTGCTTAATTTATCATCATTATCGTCATCGTAATCATTATCATCTCTTACTTTATGAGAAAATTATCGTTTTTATCGAGTGCTAATCATTCCAACACGTTGTTTTTCTTCCCCAAATGGACTCGTAATGTGGTTATATCAGCAACCAGTAGTAATGTACCACGATTACAACGATCCAAAAAGATCGTCGTAATAATGGGTGCCACTGGTTGTGGAAAATCAAAACTCTCTATCGACCTCGCTACTCATTTCTTCCCATCTATCGAAGTCATTAACTCCGATAAAATCCAAGTTTACAATGGTTTAGACATTACAACAAACAAAATTTCAATGAATGAACGTTGCGGTATCGTTCATCATCTTCTCGGAGAGTTCAAATCTACTGAATCACAGCCGGAGTTTACCCCTTCCGATTTCCGATCAGCTGGAGATTTCAGAATCAACGAAATCGTTAATCGAGGGAAAATCCCTTTTATTGTAGGTGGGTCAAACTCATTCATCTATGCTCTGTTAGTAAAACGATTCGATTCACGATTCGACATTTTCGAATCGTTAAATCCGGTGAGTGAGGAGCTTCGTTACCAGTGTTGCTTCATCTGGGTTGATGCTATTGCACCTGTATTGAATCAGTATTTAGATAAACGAGTTGATGAAATGCTCGATTCGGAGATGTTTGAAGAGCTAAAAGAGTATTTCGAGAAAGAGGGGTTTTCCGATTCCGGTTCCGACGGGATCCGGAAGGCTATAGGAGTACCGGAGTTCGAGAAATACTTTAAAGGGAAGATATCGTACGAAGAAGCAGCCATGGAGATAAAGGAGAACACAAGGGTATTAGCAGAAAGACAGGTGAAGAAGATAATGCGGTTGAGAGAAGGTGGATGGAACATACAAAGAGTGGATGCAACAGAAACGTTAACGGCGAAAATGGTGTCGGAAAAAATGGCCGGCGGCGAGAATCCGGCGGGGAAAATATGGGAAGAAGAGGTACTGAAACCAAGTGCCAAGATTGTGAAGCAGTTCTTGTTGGAGTAGGTCATTTTCCAGCTATTTCCAGCTCTCAATTTTTAATTTTTTTTTTAATTTCATCTTAATTTAAATTTCTTTTTTTGAAAAAAAAAATATAGGGGGTAAATTGAGTAAGAGGGCTGAATCAATATTAAAGTCAAACTCGTGATACTATGATCCGAATTATTACAATTAGTTGATTTAGCGAAATATTTTATCGACTATTATTTTTGAGGTTCGCTTCGAGTAAAGTAGAATAGATGTGATGTGTTTATAAATGAGGTACAAAATAGTGCTTAGTTTTTTTTTCTATGTAAAGCTAAATGGCTTTGTGTTTTCTCACTCAATTGTTTAAATAATTTATGGATTTTTATAATTCGTGGATATATTTGTATAATTGAGTTATTTTTGCATAAAGTTGAAATAATAAATTTATACAAACACAAATATATGAACTTTAAATAGTTATATAAAACTACATTATACAAAAGTTATACAAATTCTAAATTATCAAATGTGCGAATTATATAAACTCGAAACTCATGTCTACATAATTACCATTGAATGTATGATGATTAATAACTAGTATATATTTGTTTAATTATGTAATTTCCTTTTAATTCAAGTCTCATACGTATCATTGTATGATTTTGTTAAAGTAAGAGACATTTATAACTCTAGAATTATTATTAAAGGTAAGTCTAATTCAATAGGTGGATGACAAAATGTTTTTATTTCGTAAGACTAATGTGAGAGATAGACTATATTAGGTATTCAAAGAGATAGAAGTAAGTCGAAAAAGTCTTTAAAATGGTGATCACACTAAATATAATACATCTGTAGCTTACAAGCGACATTACGCTAGACTGAGAAACATGAAAATTGAGAATTATGCTAAAAGGTTAGTAGGTAATCAAGAGGCGTCATGTTCTCTTATCAATATCTGTTACTTATTTCCTTTGTATCAGTTACCATATTTTTTATTATTGCTTCATATTCTTTTCTTAATTGTTTCGAATAAACGTTTTTTATTATTATATTTGTTTTACAAGTTTTTCCAAACTAGAAATAAATTCCCTTTAGAATATCAAGAAATTATTATTTTTCATTTTTCGACTCTATTAAAACTATATATCAAGTACTCCAAATATATCATATATTTATATAAATATATATTTTTTTGTATAAAAGGATTTTCTGACGTTTGACCAAAAAGTGAATTAGCTTTTTAGAATGAACTGAAATTCTTGGATTTTAATTGGGACCCACTCATTATTCATTCTAATTTGTGGGACATCTGACAAATAGGACTGTCCTTCGTACCAATTTTCTCAACAAGGATAACCAATGCAAATGGGACAAAAAAAAAATTATTCTAATATTTATTTTTCAAAAAGATATTATAGGAGTAATTTATATCTATATTTGAAAATCTTTGTAATTTATACCTAAAAAGGATAAACAAAATTTAGTGTGTATTCATCTATATTTTTTAACTCGTGTGATTTTAGTTTATGTGACACTCTTAACTTTTCGTTATTGAAATCTTTTAACTTTGATTGTATATTTGAATATATATATATTTTATAAATTTCTGTTATGCAATTCTAGTCTTGATTTTCGACTTTTATCCATCTAATTCCATCCATAAACCCAAGGTTTTGGGCTTAAGCAGTTGTTAGCTTTGTTTCGATTTATTTATCTTATTTTGACTTAACTTATTGTTGTGCAGATGATCGCGCCATCTTATTGTTGTTACAATATTTTTGAATATGACCGTCCGTTTGTTATTGCTTTGGTATTTATTATCATGTTCCTTTTCACTATCTTTGTTATTATATTATTATTTTATTTTGTTTAAGCTGAAAATACGTGAAAATTGTTTGTATATACTCTATTTTATTCAGGATCTACTTTTTAAAATTTTACTAAATATGTTATAATCGTGTGATCTAATATCGGAATGCATTACAACCTAATCTTAGATTTTCTTTTTGAGAATTTGATCCTCAAAATATAATTCAATATAAAAATTATATACTTTACATGTCTTTTATTCACTCAATCTATCAAAAGATTCTTTAAATCTTAGCATACACAATTTTATACAAAAAATAAACAAACAATGAATCTACATTATATTGGGTATAATCTTGTCTTCTTTATTTGGTCACAAAATAATGCAACTAAGGTTTTGCCTTTCTTATTTTGTCTATAAGATGGATGGATTTTAATTTAAAACAAATATTTTACAATATTTTTTGTTTGCAAATAAGACAAGATTATAATTCCTAAATTTTTTCTTTTTATATAAAAATAAGTTAAAGGTTGGGTGCTTTTTTAAATCAATGGTGATTTGACGTATCAACATGATATTAAGCATAATACAAAAGTTCAATGCATTTAAATTTTTAATATTAAATTTATTATATTTTAAAAGAATGAATTTTTATATCTACTCTTAATAATTTTAATAAATTATATTATATATAAGTTTATATTTAATACTACCGAATATACGAATTCATATAAGCTCAATATCAACAAATTGCATCCGTTTCTATACAAAAGAGATAAAAATATTAATTTGAATATAAGTAATTAATTTTTTAGTAATATTAAAATAGAAAATATATCATTCATATAAATAAGAATTTTGGGATATATATTTCAATTATGCACGATATTAATTTAACTGAACATGAAATTTAAAAAAAGAAAAATTCATACCTAACACACCCTAAGTTTAAAGCTAATTTTATTTACTAACATCAAAAGAATAATGTCACAAGTCTTTAATCTAAAAATGTATACATAAATGATAGCTTATAGAAAGACAATTTGAATGCTAGATAGAGTTTAGTTGTTGAGACAATTGTCACATTGCTAGAGTTATGGCTTAGGAGGGACAGCTAAATGAACCAAAAAACTAGTGAAACATCATTAAAAAGCATAATGGAAACTTCATTTTCTTAGTACAAATTGCTATTCAATTCTTATTTGAGTCCCAACTTCTTGTAGTTAACATCTGGTAAATGTGGGGACCTAGATCTACTTGAAAGGTCTTCATCACATTGCTATATTCAAAAATTGTGTATATGCTATGCTTTGCTTAGCCCTTAGGCTCAATTCACAACTATTCTAAGATCAACAGGTCGATCCTTCCGTATTAAGTGAATGCAGAATTTCATTGACTTGAAAAGCATCATTGCTTGTTAGTCCTCTCAATATAATCAATTTGAAGGAGGTACATCGCGGTCATTCTACTACCTCCACCCCACCGTCCTCGTTCAATATGATTCACCGATTCTAAAATTGAATTGTTGTGGAATAATAGAGCTTCTAGTTTTAATTTTACAAAGATTTTATATAAGCTTGTTTGATGAGAGTTCAAATTGGTCCACCCATTAAGATTTAAATTTCGAAGTTTTTGATCTGGCAACATATCGCGAAGGGTGATCAATCAAACATTATTTTTTTTTAAATTCTTAAATTATGTTCCAAATTGTGTTTTTTTTTGTACTTTGTATGGTTGGCTATATCTTAAATAGGTAAGACAATAGGCAAGACATGATCTAATCATAGAGCATATAGAAGAAGTAATGTATTTATTGGGTCCCAATTGATAGAGTAAGGACCTATATCCATGACTTTAACCAGCTCATTTAATAGAGATTATTTATTTAAGAAATGGTCATTTATGAAATTGAATTGTTACATTTCAACAACCCTTCAAGGTACTTTAGAAATGGACATGTCCATGGTATGTGACATTCCATAAGTTGACTAGTGTTGAGCTCGAATTCGAAAGGTAAGGTTGGTACCTACCTTAAAAAAATGGAGGCTTGCCACTTATTAGGAGCAAAGTCAGGTAGAATCAAACGATTAATTTAATATTTTTAGATAAAAATTATAATATTTTATATATGTTTTATTGAAAAATTAAAAAAGAGCAAGTAAAGTGTTGTTGAACATATTTAAAAATATTCTTGAACCCCATTTGATAATTTCTATGCTAATGTAAATATCTTGAACCATTTATAGTTCCTAGCTAATATTGTTAATTAGTTTCTATTATATTTTGTACTGTTTTTAAAAACTAATTAGCCTAATTAATGATTAAACAAACCGGTCACATTTCTTGATTTGTTGACCTTTGTCATAAAAAATATTTTCTAGTATAGGTCATTTTAAGCCTCAACTAATTTAGATTCTTATATAAGGTGCGTTGGAATAATAAAATTTTCTATCAAGATTTTTTATTTTTATTTTTAGGACTCAAAGTCGAGATTTCTGAACCTATCTCGAATTAATAAAACTTTTACACTAATTTGGGTTGTAGTCATTGTTGAGGACGCACCAATTGATATAGTCTTTTTTTGTTCACTTAGCTTAAAGGGAAAAAGAAATCACCTTATAATTAGAGGTATTAAGTTCAAGTCTTAGGTATGAAAAAAATTTAATTAGTAGCGTTACTTATGCTTAATTTAAATTTAATCGAGATTTTAACGCAAATTTCAAACACCGAACCAAAAATGAAAAAGATCGAAAAGGAAACAACAGGCTGAATATGCTGATCACCACATGGGACTTAATAAACCCAAACTGACATATATATAACTCCACAACTTGCCTAATGGTAATTTATAATTGGTACTAGCCACAAACTTAAATCAATGTAACAATTTTATATGAACATTAATTGAATACGACCTCCAAGTAATTTTTTTTAATTGTATGAAAATTTATATAAAATATTCTAACATTCTCACTTAGTTAGATTACCTAATTTTTACCCCTAGATAATTTCTACAATGAAAGAGACAAATTAAAGTCATAATTAATAACACTTCCCTTGGCACTCAAAACTTGTTTACTCATGTATATCAAATTTATAAAATATTTTAACCACTACCTTATCCTTAATTAAATGTAGTACTTATCTTATTAAGTAAGTATAGTACTTATCTAATTTTTTGTTGATTACATAATATTCATTTGAAAGAAAATAATTAATACTTTTTTAA